GATCCCTACTTTTGTATCTTTGGGGTAAATACCCAGTAGTGCAATTGCTGGATCATATGGTAGCTCTGTTTTCAACTACGGATGGCTCCCTATTTTGCCACACCTAATTCTCACCAGTTCTGGCAGAGCATGGCGGTCCTTCCCTTCTGCAGTCAGACTCCCTTTCTCTTCTGCTAGCCTCCTGTGTGATATTAGGAATCTTGTTTCAAAAAGTGGCCATTGGGCTTTTGCCAATAAGATACAAGGTTGGGCATAAATGTTTAGATTTCAAAGGGTATTTGTTGGTACTTTAAAATAGTTTATTATATTGATAGTTTAAAAATGTTACATGGTTATTTTATTTGGTTTTTTTAAGATTTTATTTATTTGAAAGAGAGAAAGAGAATGTGCATGAGCCGGGAGAGGGGCAGGTGGGAGGGAGAGAATCTCAAGCAGACGCCACGCTTAATGTGGAGCCCCTGGCTGGGCTCGATCTCACGACCCTGAAATCATGAGCTGAGTTGAAACCAAGAGTGGGAGGCTTGGCCGACTGAGCCACCCAGGTGCCCCGCATGTGTATTATTTTACAGAGATGGAAAATGGGAACTCGAAGGGGAGGAATTAAGGAGGAAAAGGGACTCACAGACAAGAGGCAGAGTGCAGTTGTCACATATCAGACTTGGCCTAAAATGGTCTGTGCCCCATCCCATCCTCCCACACACTTGGGGTGGGCTCATGGGGAGTGTGGCATCCCAGGGTCATCCCAGGAGTGCTGTCCTTGCTGCCTATATAAATGGGCCATCAGTCCATAGGGTCAGAGACAGCAAATTCAATAGGAAACCTCAACAATATGGATCAGAAAACCAGGCTAGACTAAGAAGGATTGAAGGATGTTATGGTTGAGCAGTGGGGTTTTATCTTGTCTGGTTGGGCAAGAATGGAGCTATGAAGGGTACTAAATGGGGGTGGACGATTGGAAAAACAGGTGCCATTTATAAAAATTGCAGCTTTGTTGAGATAGAATTCACATATCCTTCAATTCACCTAGAGAATACAATGCAGTTTTTTTTTTTTTTTAAAGATTTTATTTATTTGACAGAGAGAGACACAGCAAGAGAGGGAACACAAGCAGGGGGAGTGGGAGAGGGAGAAGCAGGCTTCCCGCGGAGCAGGGAGCCCGATGCGGGGCTTGATCCCAGGACCCTGGGATCACGAACTGAGCTGAAGGCAGATGCTTAATGACTGAGCCACCCAGGCACCCCACAATGCAGTGGTTTTGAGCATATTCACAGAGTGGATTTACAGGTGCAACCATTAGCATAATTAATTCTACATTTTCATCACCCCCCAGAGAAATCTGTATACATTAGCCATAAGTCCTCATTTCTTCCCAATTCCTCCAGCCTTAGGCAGCCAGTGATTTACTTTCTCTGTGGATGTGCCTATTCCGCTATTTCATATAAATGGAATCATACAATATAGGACTTTTATGTCTGGCTTCTTTCACTTAGCATAATGTTTTCAAGGTCCATTCATATTATACCACGGGTCAGTACTTCACTGTATTTATTGCTGAATATTATTCTAATTTATAGACATACCACATTTCATTCATTCATTCATCAATTGGTGGGCATTTAGGTATTTTCTTTTGGGCTATTATGAATAATGTTGCTCTAAACAGGTTTTTGTGTAGATATATTTTTATTTCTCATGGGTATATACCTAGGAGTGGAATTGCTTGTTTATACAGTCACTCTGTGTTTAACCTTTTAAGAAACTGCCAGATCTTCTGAAGTGGCTGGACCTTTTAATGTTCCCACCAGGAACGTATGAGGGTTCCAGTTCTCCACCTTCTGACCAACACTTGTTACCTTTTTGGTGCTAGTCATCCTTGTGCTTGTGAAGTGGTTTGCATTTCTCTGATGGCTGATTATCGTTGAGCATCTTTTCATCTGCTTATTTACCATTTGTGTATCTTTTTCAGAGAAATGTCCATTCAGATCCTTTGGCCATTTTTAAATTGGGTTATTGTCTTATTCTTATTGTAAGAGTTCTTTATATATTCCAGTACCAAGTTGCTTATCAGATGTATGACTTGCACATATATTCACACATTCTGTGAAAGGTCTTTTCACTTTCTTGGTGGTGTGAGTCATTTGAAGCACAGAATTTTAAGTTTCAATAATATCCATTTAATCCACATTTTTCTTTTGTTACCTGTGCTTTTGGTGTTACATTTAAGAAACCATTGCCAAATCTAAGGTCATGAAGATTTATGCTTGTGTTTTCTTCTAAGAGTTTTTTACTTTTAGCTCTTACATTTAGGCCTTTGATACATTTTTAAATTACTTTTGTATTCTTTTTATGTGGCTATCTAGTTGTGCCATCACTATTTTAAAAAGCTATTCTTGGGGCACCTGGGTGGCTCAGTTGGTTAAGCGACTGCCTTCAGCTCAGGTCATGATCCTGGAGTCCTGGGATCGAGTCGCGCATCGGGCTCCCTGCTCAGCGGGGGGTCTGCTTCTCCCTCTGACCCTCCTCCCTCTCATGCTCTCTGTCTCTCATTCTCTCTCTCAAATAAATAAATAAAAT